CACAGAGGGGAGGAGGAACATCAAAGTGAGGAGTATTCGGGAGGGCTAATAGAAGAGTGATTCACAGGTGTTAAAGAGACAGACAGACACAAAGGCTCAGAAAGGGTAAGATGAGTACTGTAACAGACACAAAGGCTCAGAAAGGGTAAGATGAGTACTGTGTAGGGGTCGAATATGACATACTGTGGGGGTGATGAATGTTTGAAGTGAGAAGTCAACTGCCGGTAAATAGACTTTTTTTGAAGTGAGAAGTCAACTGCCGGTAAATAGACTTTTTGCCGTATGATTATACGTTGTCCAGGGTGCACCGCGAGGAGGTAAGTCAATCCCACACCCCGAGAATAACCAAATAGATATTAATTAGTTATCAATTTGATAAAGGTTGATCCTTTAATTTTTTAATGGCAGTGCATCTGACATGATAAATTCAATCAAAAAACATCCAGGCTTCCTGCAGATGTCAATCCTTCATAGGTGAAAAATGTACCTTTTCTAAACTTTGAAAAGTGGAAAAATCCGAAAATTTTCCCACTAACGAGGTTTTGTAAGGAAGTTTTCGGTTACATATTATTGTCTAGAAAATGAATGGGTTTGGCAATGCTAAAAAACCGGAAAATTTAACTCAAGTTCATAACTATCTTCCAAATGCAAATTGGTCTTCATTTTGTTAATTTCGAAGGATTTTGCTTTGATTTAATTAACTTCTGGCAGTTCCTGATCCAATTCTTCGCTTAAAAATGCTATATCTTATTAATACATGTTTAAAATATGCAAATACCGATAGAGGATATTTATACGAGTGAAGTTAAAGTTTATTGATTTATTAATATCAAATGTCAGGCTTTATGATAGTTATCATTAGCCCTTTTGCTGACTTCGGGCTTCACAGAGGGGAGGAACAGACAAAGTCACAAAAAGTGGAGAAGAGGAACACAAGAGTGGTTCACATATGCAAAAGAGACAGACAGACACATAGGCAGAGGAAATTTAAGATGAGTACTGTGAAAGTGGTTTAATATGACATACCGTGGGGTCATGATAGTTTGAAGTCAGAAGTCAACTGCCGATTTATAGACAATTTTGCCGCATGAGCATACGTTGCCCAGGGTGCACCACGTGGAGGTAAAATTAAATCAATATTTCTATATAAAATTTCTCCCTGATAGGAAGGCTAAAATGGCGAACCTTTATAAAAATGGCCCACAATATAGATACTTGTTGCTAATTATTTTACTTGACTGTATTTATGTTAGTTAAATTTTTTCGACCTTCTTGTATCTAAGTTTGTTTATTCAATCTCAGTTTAAAAATGGGCGGAAATGCGGAACTATTCCAATGAAGGACCAAACTTATTTTATTTATTCACCTTTCTCGTTTTTTATATAAACCGAATGGGAATCAAAACGCTTGTCGCGTTTTAATAGACCTTTGCGTGAATTTACGTAACGGATAGACAAAGTGCGGATTTCATTCGAGTGGCACTTAACGCATTTAGGATTTTCAATTTCTAACTACAATTTTTCCCTGCATTGTGGTCTATAAGTTGTTAAATATGGACAATTTGATTTGCTTACCATTGAAAAAAATCGATTTTTCAAATGACTGTCACAATATAGAATTGATTAATCTGCTTTCAACTTACACCATTTTATTGTTGTTGAAAAGGCGAATATGGTAAAAGCAGGAAGAGACCCGCTTTGTCTCCGCAAATATAATTTCGAAATCATGAATTACCCATGATTGATGATTCGCACTGTTAGTCAAAAGATAATAACCACAGCTGACAGCGTAATCACCATAAGGTGATTTTTGAGCGAATAAAAAGGTCAGAAAGAGCTTACTTGCCATGGACTAACTTACGATGATTTGGCTACCATTAATCATTATCAGATCATTCCATAATTTACAACGAGTACATTAATTAACTTGGTAGTTATTTTTTTGGTATTATGCATTTATATTACCCCAGATGTCAGACGTTGGTGTTTTTCATTTACTAATTATTATTCTTTTTACATTATCCGCTAGATACTCTTGGTTACATGATCTTTTTACGCTAACACAAAGTATGGTTACCACATTGGTGATTTCACGGAGACCTTACTAATGGGATAAAGAGTAGTAAAACTGAATCTGCCCCCCCCCCTAACCCCCAAAAAAAACTTGTGGGGAAACGATTCCATCACTCCCTTTTATAGGTATACTTAACGATATTTAATGTAAGTGGTGCGTCCCAAAGAAGATCGAACGCTCGACTTCACAGACGTAAAAAGGCAAACGACGGTTGACTCGACACAAGGAGAGAATGGTTAGTCATGTTGTTCACTGGTTTATTTTTATTAACTTTCACTTGTGCATATCTATTGTTAATCTACTTAATCGATTTTCCTCAAGTTCCCATCTTCGATATGCTGAGCTTCAAATTGTACTAACAGCGACTCAGTACTCTTCGCAAATGTGGCCCACTCACTTGTCCTACAATCTAACCCCGAAATATTCAATTGCTTTCTTTCCGGATACATACTTGCGGTCAAGCCTCTCTTACGATCCTATGCTGTGCTAAAATTTATACAAACCTAAAATGCATTACCATTGATATTATTCTGCTTATCTAAATGGCAGCATATATGTGGAGATTTAGACTGTTAAGGCAGTCAAAGTAATGTTTCTGTTAAAACGGCAAATTATCGATTTCTCCGAGAAGACCTTTAAATTGGTTAGTTATTAAGTGCTACAGGATTGCAGTTAACGAATTAAAGAAACGGTTACCTTAGTTAAAAGTAAATCAAATGCCAATATCAGCCAAAAGAGAGATTTTATTCAATACATTAGATATCCATCTTTGAATGCGATCCCGAAAGTTTTTTTTAAAACTGAGTGGAACATTTGTTTATCAACATTTCAGTGTTTCGATTCGTCAGGTGTTTATTGATATGTGCTATGCCTAATATTCCTATTACATAGTTAGCTACCTCACCAGCTATTGTCTCTAGGACAAGCACATCAAATTCCATCGGAAATAGGCATGCCAGATTTTGTGAAGACGGGCCCATGTAACAGATGACTGCTACCTATAATGATTGCTTTAGCCATTGGGACCAACCAAGGCAAGTGGTTATAAGAGAAAGAATAAAGAATTCAGCCAACATACTTTCCATTTATAAGACCAAAGTTGTGAAGAAAAAGGAAATATAAATAAGGTACAAGAATGATTGAAAAATCACGTGACCTAAAGGTGAACATTCGTTCACGCTCGTGATGAATTCAAAGATTGTGTCCATCTTGTCCTCATCAAATTTGACAGGGATTAGGTGATTTGCGAGCTCACAGCTCTCGTGGGTATCTTTATGTACGTACTTTCATATAAATGAAAAGCATTAAAAATTTCAGTTATTGTCATTTTAAATGTTTTATCATTAGAAATTGGAAAATTGGAACAGCCATTTTTGAAACGAAATGGTACATCTATTCAATTAGAAGGTTAAGTTCTAATTAATACGTAAAAAAATGTACACAGACTTAAGATTCAGTTAATTCATTTATTGATAAAATAGCAAAACACGGCATAATCTTACCATTTTACATTGACCTCATGGTCTAAACTAAGTGAACAATTGTTTTGAGTTAATCTTAATTAATACTAGGCTCATGAAGGAAAGTAACTTATTTGCGGTTTCAATACCGCAATTAAAACGAATCTTCATTGTCAACAACAACATTTAATGTAATTATTATAGTATATAAAAATATAGTAACAATTAAAAGCTCAGTTAACTAAGTTTCATAGGTAACTATTGAAATACAATTCAAAACTTTTATTATAAGAGTATAAGAGTAGCAGCTGATTTGAAAAAAATATTATAAATACAGAGTGTTTTGCCCATTTATGTTAATCGCATGTGTTAATGTAATCAAAAAAAATAAAATTTAAAAATAATGAAAATTTACTGGTCTAGCACAAATTATGAGAATTAATTAAATAACCATACTTAATTCGCACTTTGAATATATCCTAAAAGATTGCGCCACAGTCGTCTATCTATAGAACGTGTGCTTGATATATTTTATATTTCTCATTCGGTAATTCCATTCCCTTTTATGACACTTGGTACGTTACTCGGTATTTTGCTAATTTCTTTCATATTCTTTAATATTACGAGATATCTACTGAAAGTCCCATTACTGTTCATATATTATATCTCCAATTATTTTCAGTTTAAAGCTATAGTTAACAATGAAGGACACGAAAGTGGGAATCAATCTACTGAAGTTGCCAGACAAGTACGTTTTACGAAAATTTTTATCAAAATATTTTAGAATAATGGCAATCATAGTTGCCAACACTGAACCAGTCACTCAAAAGCATTTTGAGGAACAACTTCCCGATGTACCCGTTACTGAACTTCTCCCTGTTCTTAATACCATGCAGAAGAAGGGGCAGCTAGAAGTTTTGGTAAACGCCGACCGAACACTTTCCTGGCAATTGCGAACGATTAAGAACATTGAGTAAGTTATTCTTATTCCTGTTTATTTATGGTCCAAAATTAGAAAAATTAAATCCCTAACGGATCTTGATGAAAAGCTTGTCTACAATTGCATTCGCAAAAATGCCAATGATGGTGCCACTGTGCGGACCATTGCTGTAGATACCAAGATCCAGCAAACAAAACTGCCGAAAATACTCAAGTCACTCATAGCGCGAAAGATGATTAAGGAATTACCGGTGATGGCTGGCAATAAACAAAAGATTTACCTACTCTATGAACTCGAACCCAGTAGAACACTAGCTGCTAATACTCTGTTTGCTGGAGAATCTGGAGTTGATGTCGAATTTGTGTCTATGTTGAGGACGGCTTGTTTGAAGTATATCGGCGACAAGGTATGTATATATTGTTGCTATGGACTTATTTAATAATTTATTTTAGGCCAACACTGCATCAAAGATCACTGATCCCTTTAAGAGAAGAAATGCATCCTACGTGACCGTTGAGGAGATTCATAACTTCATCATCAGCACCAAACTATGCACAGTAAGTTCTTCACATAAATCTATTTTTTGCGGTAAAACCCGATCTTATTTTCATCATTGTAATTAAATGTGGTCTGCTCTTCTTTTCTCTCTATTCAAATTCTTTCCACGATTAAGCTGATACCATTGCATGGATCTTATAATTGTATCTAATCGATATGACCCCGCATTCATAATAGCCCTGAATTATTATTATTATTCCCAGGAAAGGTTGAATGATATAAGAAAGAGTATTGCTATTCATAATGCAAAATTTTTCCTTCTTTCAAGGTGCCTCTGCTGCCAGCAGACATAAAGATCGTCCTGGACGCTCTTTACTTTGGGGGTGAATTGGAGCGAAAGCAGTCTGCTGTAGCCACCACAGTTATGGAAGCTATTGCTGAAAAGGGTGATGATTGCGAGGACGACGATCATGATGATACGGAAGTGCAACCTAAGAGAATGCGGATTGACGACGTTCGAAACTGTAAATACCGACTTGCTCCTAAGGCCTCTGAGTTTGCTTGTCTTGCTCGAATCCCCTGCATATTCGCTTTGGTAAGTCCAGCTGTTATACACGCGGTCAAGAAATACCAACTGGATGGTAGAGATAGCTTCCTCTTGTGGTCGTCGTTATGATTCAGCCAGTAGTGGTTTGAACGCCATCGAGCTATTTTAATGACATTATGCCTCTATGGCTATACTTCGAAGCTCTTCCCGTCCTTATGTTACTTCTGAAGATTAGATTCATGGAACCACTTTAACTGAGCAGCCTTGAATGCAGAATGGTTATATGAAAGTGCACATTCGGTCGCATCCACACGCGCTTGCTCTATCCAGCTTAAGGGTTTTTAGGATAAAATAATCCACATGTCAATAGTTCACCTGGCTACATAACTGATTTGAAATTCCTAAAGATAGCTATTCTCCCCTTTTAGAACAAAAAGCGCAGTCGAGCTGCAGACATGATTTGCCCCCCTGATGACCCAATCTACAAGGCCTTTCTGGAAACAGTTGGACCCTCCTCCTCAAGTGTACATATTGCCGAAAAATAAGTACAAATCACTCTTTGTCACTTGTACTAGTTGAACAAAACAGCCCCTAACTTCATAAATAAATATTTATACACAGCTATATTTTAACAACGAATGTATGTTACTTAATACCAATAAGTAGGCATTCGTTCTCGCTTTTCTTGCGGGGCGTAAATACGGGTTAGTTCCTGCTCGAAGGTTTCTAACTTCTCTGGTGAGAAAAAATCCACAGTCGCTTTAGTGACAACCTCCGAGGGAGTATCTTTATCACCCGAATCAGCAGACAAAGGGTCTGTTAGATCATCAAGGATGCGCGCAGCTGCTGGAAGGGGTAGAATACGCCCACTGCGTTTGGAGACTCGAACCCGGTTTCCCTGGGCTTCGTAACGCCATACTGCCTCACAGGGTGTCCTGTCCGCTGGATCAATTAGAGCAACCTGAATTAGGTGAAAATTTAAGTTACTTTAAGCGTGTTCATTAGTTTTGATATTGTGAGGTCAGTTGACTTACCTCCTCATTTATTTTAAGATAGTTTTCATCGAACAAGAGCTGACCACTGTCTTCTGAAGTTCGATAACGGGGATTTAGACCCTCCACGTAAACAAGATTGCGCATTTTGATAACTGCGCTTACAATGCCAACCTATAAAGAAGATTAGACTTAAGATGATGTTCCAGTCAGTGTTTTGGTATCAAAATATGATCAGTTTTATTTGCCTTTCCACGGCTGATACCCTTCAGAACGATTACACGGTCTCCCTTAAAAATGGTCTGTTGGTCTGGAGGCATTCCAGTAAGCCTTTCTCTGGTTTTGGTCTTTCCATCTGGATGTATTACACACCAGTCCGTCTTGTAGGGGAAGGAGGTTAACCGATTAGCAATATTCCAAGGCGGGTTTTCAGAGAAATGCCACACGGGCAGCCATTTTTCCTCCGCGAACTATCGAATAAAGAAATAATTAGCACTTATGCATAAATATGCTAAAACAGTATTAGAAAAAATGCTGTGCCGTTAATATATATCTTTAGTAACAGAATGAGGACGATTAAAAATGTGGTCATAAAATAACAATGCAATTCTACTCTCGTAGAACCAAAATTGGGGCGGAAATTGAGAAGTAGATTGCGATTTTAGAACACAAATTCACTCAAGACACGCAACTAGCTTTCTACACATAGTATAGCAAAGGGGGGGGGGGAGGAAGTGGGCGTTTGGGATGAAAAGAGAAATGGTTTCGTAGTTTATTTAAGCTACACATTTCCTGCGATTTTTACTCCACTTTCTTATGGTTCGATCTGGTTTTCGATTGTCACCTGATTCATAGATGATTTTTTTCCGGGAAGGAAGTAGGTGATCCGCTCCAGCAGCTTCAATTCGTCCAACCAGTCGATCGATCTAAGCTAATTAACCTTCAATTCAATACTGGGGCACACAACCAAAGACTCGAATCCATCGATTCAAACTGAAGTTATCACATTTTGCAAAAAACCTACACTGATTTCTTTAAGGCCTAATTCACAAATGGTTCGCCGCAACTTTCGTTCTAACACTTTGGAAAAGGCTATACTATGCTATTAGCTTAAGTCAGTTGGATGATAGAAGGTGTTTTATCTGGGATAGAAACTGCCTTAACGTAAATCAACACAATCATGAAAGAATGGAAGGCACGCGAATAGGGTATTACGTGATCGGAACTGCATTTTAAAATAAAGTAAATGGATAAAAATAATCAAAGACTCCAAAGTAATTCTTATTCACGCAAGTCCAGTATTGAATGAGACCTTCTTCAATGGGATTGGTGTCGACTTACAACAGAAGACACTTAGTACACTTCATTATGGCAAGGTTAAATTTGACAGTAAAGTGATAAACACGCTAGTAAGATAGCCTCTGAATACGAGGGTGAGTCAAAAGGTTCCAGAGAAATTGCATTACTTATTTACTTAACAGGTGACTGCATTCATTTTCCGAGTAGGCTCCATTGTTGCCTACACACACTTTTTTTTTAAAATCTGTACCCCCACCTGTAAATTCCCTCGTGGTACTATTTTAGGGGGACGGACTCTGACACCTTCAAGGCGTTCCTTCAGTTTTGGAAACAAAAGTCTGAGGGAGCTAAGTTTGAGCTATAAGGAGGATGTAGAAGCGTTACCCATCAAAAATCGTGCAGGAAGACCCTGATGATAGCTCTTGAAGAACCTGCAGAAGCATCGTCATGAAACAAAATTTGACCCTGCAGCTTCCCACGCCGTTTATTGACGGTGTCAACCACTTAAGAACACCTTGATAAGAACTTGAGGTGGTCGTTTTCTACTCTTTCTAGAAAGTATCTATCTGCTGCCCATCGTACCACTCCTTTTGAATTACAAAGCATAGTGATCATGACCTTCTTAACTGACCTTTCAGCTTTCAACTTGACATGTCCAGATGTTTCCTTTGGATGGGATTGAGTTTTGTGTACTGAATGAAATTGGTAGATCCAGATCTCATATACGGTAACACAGCGCTTAAGAAAGTATCCTCATTTGTTTCCAACTTTACTAGGGTTGCAAAATAAAAGTTCAGCTCTTTTTGGATCAATTGTTGCTCCTGGAGCGATTTTGCAACACATCGCACATACCAAAAAAGAGCATGCGCTCAAGCCAAAATTTTCTCTGAGAATTGTAAATGCTGACCCGTGTGCGATTCCTACTACATTAGCAATTTCCTCAATTGTAACTCGTCAACCTTGTGCCTCTAGACTCTACACAAGGGAGATGTTTTCTCGATTTTGTTTATGTGGTGGGTCTCCCACTCCTTGAGTAGTTATCAAGTTGCACTCTCTCCCTCTTTAAAGGGTTTAACCCAATTATAAACGACTGTCCTATATAGCACGTAGTCCCCCACATAAACCGGCTGTAAAACTTCTACGATTCGAACAAGTTTATTTAAACATTTCATGCTAGCTCTGATCTCAAAGCGTGTAATCTCTAAGCTGAGATTCAATCTATCTTGACTCTGGCCTCACAGGGAGTGATTGGACCAGTTGGATGTCATTAAGGAAGCCCTAAAGACACATTCGAACTTACAAATTCTAGAAAGCCTTGGACTCATCCTCGTATAAGGAAATCAGAATAAAATTAGGCAAACACAGTTAAATGACAATCGAAAAAAAGACACTGCAAATTCATGAAAAAAAGGACTGACAAACCTCATTAGGTTTGGCTTTGGGTAACTGGAAGGGCATAGAACGATCCATTTCGAAGGACCATCCCTGTAGATCGCCACGGTAGATGGCTCGGAAACGCAGCATACGAGCTACGTAACGCGGCCAATAAGCGAATTGGAATGCTGGATTCTGAAAACGAGGCGGATTCAATAATATACTACTCAAACCAACCACAAGTAGACAAACTGGCCGAAGAAAGAAAACAAATAGAAGTACCACAATAGGCGAGAATAAGAGACAAGAATTTATTATTATTATTATTATTGAAAGAAATGGTTACATTGAGTATTCTAATTAGTAAATAAACAAGGCAAGGCAAGAAGGAAGATAAAAATTGATTGAAAGTTTGAGTATTTTGAGATTGGTCCACCGCATGATATGAACTTCAGGTAGTAGTAGGCCGCATCTTTGTGCCCACACAGGAAGTGAAGCTTTGCATTTTCGATTCGTCCACCAACTACGAAAATATGGAAAAAAGAGAGATGTGATGAGGGCAAAATCTCGGGGAAGCAGATTTGTTTTGATAAGTTCAATATATATGGTAGCGGGGTGTGGGATAGACTTACCTCCTCGTGGTGCACCCTGGGTAACGTATAATCATACGGCAAAAAAGTCTATTAACCGGCAGTTGACTTCTTACTTCAAACTACCATCACCTCCACTGTATGTCATATTCCACCACTTCCACAGTACTCACCTCGCCTTTCCTTTTTCTCTACCTTTGTGTTCGTTTGTCCCTTATACATCTGTGAATCACTCTTCTGTCCCTCTCCACTTTTTGTGGCTTTGATGTTTCTCCCCTCTGCGAAGCCCGAAGTCAACTAAAGGGCTAATGATAACTACCATAAAGCCTGCCATTTGATATAGTTTATTTCTTATTAAAGTGAACGGGAAACAGAATGTTACGAATAATGGCGAACTGAACATTCAATAAGATCACAACAAGCGCTGAAAGTGCTCAGCACATATCGTCTCCTTGCCCATACTGTAGAAACCTCCACAACCGAGATGAAAGTATTTACCGACGCCAAGACTTATTAGAATAATGAATGTATGTGTGGACCAGTAGAAAGCTGGGACGTGAGATATACCCTCTTTTAATTTTCCATGCTGTGGAAAAGTGCAGTGGTCAATGTGGGAGGATGATCACTTCAAAACACATTTGCACCTATTAACACTTACTGCCTAATCGCTTACCATGCTTGTTTGAACTTTCTATGACATTCCTTAATAATTCTCTAATTCAGACCCCGCTTCTCACGGCTTTAACGAGATTAAGTTAGTAAATACTTACAAGCACTCACAGCGCCAGTATGTATGAGAAGCGACCAAAACATTAACTTTGAAAAATAGTGGAAAATTTCAATCGTAGAATTATCTACTGTTAACAACGGAACAAAGAGAATACTTACAAAAGGGCTTAACGACCTTGCTCTTGAATAGAAAAGAAAATATATATATGCTAATGCAATTGTTATTCACGTCTAACCAAAAGATCTATTCGCCTATTAACGACAACAAGATTAAAACATTTATTTTAATAGCAAATAAATGTAACAAGGGAAACAGAAAAAAATAGGTTCATTGACTAAAAATGGCTCCTAATATTTAATTCGGCTGAGATTTCTGATTTATGGAACCTTTAAACGCATACTAGTCAAGAGGAGGAAATAATATTTAAAGGCGCCCATCCGTGTAGGGTTGAAATTTGAGGGGAGAGCCAAGTGGGTGTGCGATAGACTTACCTCCACGTGGTGCACCTTGGGTGGTGTGCGTAGACTTACCTCCACGTGGTGCACACTGGGCAACGTATACTCATACGGCAAAAAAGTCTATTAAAGGCAGTTGACTTCTAACTTCAAACTACCATGACCCCATTGTGGCAGTTGACTTCTCACTTCAAACTACCACCACCTCACTCAATGCCATATTCGACTGTTTCACAGTACTCACCTCACCTTTTTCTACCTTTGTGTTTGTCTCTTACATCTTTGAAACACTCTTCTGTTCCCCCCTCTCGACTTTTTTTCAATTTGATGTTCCTCCTCCCCTCTGTGAAGCCTGAAGTCAACTAAATGGTTAATGATAACCATTAAGATGCCTGCCATTTGATATAAATAATATTCTTCTTGATATTCACTAATTTCAGAAGAGATGCTCCTCCAACAATATTTTTTGTTGACATTTGCCTAGTTAAATCTGCCGACAAGACATCAGAACGCCTAGGAGGGACATGTGGCACATCAAATCAAAGAGCAAAACTTTCTCAGATATGAATCTCCACATCACACTTTCGAGTTCAATATTAGATCTCAGAACAGAACAAAATCATATTACGCCGAATAATTAAGTCATGAGGACAATTTAATGATTACAAGTTGAGACATAGAAATAAAAATATCCATTCAATCTCATTTTTTTTGGAAGAGTCAATTCGGACGGATCTGCGCAGTACCCACGCAAGATAAAATCATGTTAAATGTACAATTTTATCCTAAATCACATTATATTTGATTAATTTAGTCAACGGAGATAAACGTTTATTTCCATCTTTATTAATAAGCAAAATAGTTAGCGCATGTAGACAATAAGTAATAAAATTTTAATTAAGCAAAATAAAAGCACTTTGAAGCGTAATAATTGGCCAAGTTGCAAAAGTGGATAAATTGCCCAGCATAGAAGTTTCAGCAATCAGTCATGACGATGGTACCGATTAATTGCTCAATCGTGTTCCATAGTTCATGAAGTCCAGCGATAGACAAGGAACTTGCAGCACCTCTCAAAAGGAACGGAAGGTTCATTTTATGAATGTTTCATACATTAACGCATTATTTTCGCCGAAATGTTGGCAGTTTTAGTATATTATCTCTTTACTTTTTCATATCAATATCAATCTCTTGCATTATCCACAACCAAAGCCGCAATTACTTGATTTACTGTCAGGTTACTAAATTAAAATTTTTAATGAAACATTTTAGACATGGCTAAAGAATATCAAAATTTTTATTTTTAAATCTTATAAAAGTTACCTTTTTCTTTGCTGCGAATAACCTATTTGAATTACAACCCTAAAGGAAGTTCGAAGAAAGGTTACTTAAGTGAGTCCATTATCGTACGATTAAGATGAATAAACATTACATGTATTCTCAAATCACGTAGGCAGAGCTCAATGCCAATCAATTATATACTTACTTTCGTGGACAATTGGACTCATTTAAAAACCTTAGTTAACAAAAAGGGAATCTTAGTAGGACGCCAGGCTAAACCTTGATATTTTTATATTTATTAGGAACCCAATAAATGAATTTGAGGCTTCAGTTGGCCAGACCCGAAAGATAGTTGTAAATTAGTCAAGATCAATAGTTAATTTAGCTAAGTTTAGTCTAAGGTGTATGGATTTGATTATTATTGTTGTTTGCTGAATGTCCATGTATTCTTTTAGGTTAGTTGTTAAAACCAAAAGAGAAGAATACACTATCAGACACAGAGAAAAACTAGGATAACGGGATGGGGTGGGCGTTTCGAAAATCGTATAGACAAGGCAAGGTGGAATGAGTGTTCGTATGGATGAATAAGAATATGAGTAACAGTAAGGCAGTCGAAAAAAACATTTATTTATATCAAATGGCAGGCGTCTTAATGG